TGCTTTTGTTGAGAAGATTTTAGAAACGTTTTTGTGCGGGAATTAAGAAAGTTATGTCACAGCATGGACAATTAGACTTTTTATTAAACTGATTACATTGGATATATTTAATATTCCAATTACTTTAATAGTACTATATTTGCCTTACTACGTAAAGCAAGCTCAGTTGAAAGAGTAACAAAGATTTTACCATTTATATTAGAATTACGTTCGCAAGAGTGACAACATTGATACAAGTAACAGTCTGAATTAGCGCTTCAGTTCCATTCCTGCTAGTTAACTAATATCTAATCAGCAAACGCCGATTTTGTTCCATTTTAAGTAAGTCAATTAAACACTCTCTAACGACAAATGAAGGAGTACTGGAAGGCGCCATTTACCCGTTTAATACTGTGCCAATAAAGGCTGTGAGACAGAAAAATATACACAAGTAACAAAAAATGTAACCAGAATACGTGCAATAAAACTTTTAATTGAGTAAATTTTAGAATTAGAATTTATTGTGAAGATCAGGATGGTGCGTTTACGAGAATTTTTGTATGGCGGGAAGATTTACTTAGACAACACCCGTCGATTCATGGATTCCGTCTGATAGAAATATTAATGAAAATCAGCCAAACTTGGTTCCAAGATAGCAAAAGTGCTCTAATGGCAGACGACACCATCCACAACTCGGGCGACAGTTTTCAGCCATCCAGCCTCGCCGAATGACGCACTGACCTGCAGATGACCATATCGAGCAGAGTGCATGACGATTAACGCAGGCTGTAAAAAAAGTTATCAAAGCAGTTACCCAGATTTCATCCCTCTTTTTTTAAACTTTTGTATTACTGCAAACTTACCATCAGTCCGATCACTTGATGCGCAAAAACCGCAGCTTCTCATACAGTACTCCTTCATGTAAATTGGGTTTGAATAACATTCTCCTCTTCTTGTTCGAATCCCACAACATGGCTCTTTGTTCAAGCAGTGACTTGTTCCTCCACCTTCTTGCATCTAAAAAAGAAAAAATAAAATTATTTGCTGTTTCCCCGTTTTAATCGCACACGCTAATAAAAGCGAAATTTGAGCAGAAATTCAAACCGCTGCAACCCATTAATAAAGTTGTATGATCTCAGTCGTGAATTTTGGACGGATATAGTTATAAGGCCAAATCTATATCTGTCCACTTCTTAAGAATACTAAAAGTTGAACTTGAAAATGAAATATGGGGTTCTATGTGCTTTTGTTTACTGAAAAGCACGCATTTGATAACTGTCACAAAACTTCTCGATCTTGAGGAAAGTGGAGTTGCAGATTTGAAGATTTATAAGAGGGTGTACAGAAACGTGGTTTGCGGTTTACGAAAGAATTTTTTGTGAGAAGTTCAGTGCCGGCAAAAGTTGCTTCTAAGGAGTAAGAAGTTTAAGGCAACTGCAGTGGGAGGAAGGAAAGTAGCTAGAAACTACAAAATATTTGTCGAACGATTGCTGAGCTGAATTTATTTGGCGCCAATGATCGCAAAGAAAGATTTACTTGATAAAATTGTTGCTTACTGTAGAAAAAAAAGCTGCATATTTCTTGCGACTTTTAGTATTTAAAAGTAAAACATATTTTCAACAAAACTCAGGTGACGCAGAAATAAATTTCCCTGTTACTCCAAGCACTAAGAAAATAAACCATACAAAACTGTCTGACGTCTTATAAAAGCTAGGAGACTTTCTTTCGGTCCCGTCTCACCCAACGTTCTCAGCCAACTTTTTTTGCGTGTGGAGTTTTAATGAGAAAGCACTGACTACTTTTTTTAGTTGGACATTCGTAAAAAGAATAAAGTACCAAACCGAATTTAATAGCCGATGAACTGGTGGTGCTTGCCGTATATGAGTTATTCCGCGTGACTGCTAAAAGAAAAACCGTATAGACGGAGTGGAGATGTTATTCCTCAAATAACAACTAAACAGCTAGTAAAGTCCGTTGATGAAAACGTTTATAAACAAGTTTTAGTGATATTCATTTCGAGAAACAGTTTTAAACTTCGCAAAGATAACTTTTTGGAAAGCGTCAGTTACTCGGCACCGAGAGTCGATGCAAACACTACCAAAGCAAGCATCTTCTCTTTCAAAACCGTCACATCTTCCTCCAGGTTTTATCTTCGCTACGCACCGTGGGAATGGAGCATTCAAGTTACAGAAGAGAAATGGTGACTGGCAGTCCTGTGATGATTTACTGCATTTTGGATGAGGTGCGTAAGTGTACATAAAATCTGTATAGGCGTTTGATAAACCTGTAAAGTGTGCAGCTTATTATAACAGTGGTTTTTATGCGTGTGGCAAGCAAAGTCGCAAATATAGTTGATTTACCAATTTTAAACAATAATCTAAATTATTTATTTGCTTTAATTTACTGTGCGGTTGATTCAAAGACTTGCCTTCAATATTTCTTTTTTTAAATGGAAACATAGTTGCTGAAGCGAAATGTTTGGGATCTTCACAGAAGTTGTTTTCTATTGGGAATGCCTTGAAACAGTAAGATCTTTGTCTTCAGAAAAAATTAGCTGCTGGGGAACTACATAAGAAATGTTGCAGAAACGAGCTAAATCAGCGTACCGTTTCTCGTTCAGTACGATCTTGTCTCATCTGTCGCCATAATTCATAAACGAAATCAACAAAAGCATGAAGAAAGAAGAATAACGGGTCGTTTGCAGAAGTACTTGGAGGCTTCAGATCTCCACCAACCCACAGGTGAACGCTAGCATGTCTATATTCAATAGCGCCTAGAAATGGCGCATAAGGGCAACCTGAAATGTTCTATTAGCCTAGTGAGCAAAGTGAAAATTAACCCGGTCAGGAAATGAAATTATGATAAATGGCAAACAAACCAGATTCTAAAGTGATAAATGAATTTGTCAGTAAACTATATATTTGAAAATAAATTGTAACACAAACCTCGTTTCGGGGCTGTAGCAGTAAGAATGTTTTCGATCTTAGTTTGCGCCAGAAAATCTTTAATATTATTTTCAGTAAAGAGATGACCTTCTCTTCCAAGAAACCTAAAGTAAAATCCTGACATAAATCAAAATTTAATTTATAAAAAATGAAACCTTTTCAAAACCCTTTCAATTTCCTTTGTTTTCTAATTAAAAAAAAACGATACCAACAACAAACCGAGTGATGTGCAAATGACCTTCTAGAGTAGGAAAATTTGCAAAAGGTCCATCTATAACATTTCCAGACGCATCTGTACTGCCAACAAGCTCGTTAGTCCACATTGTCGAATCTTTTGGATTTGGAAGATAACCATCCATTACAGAATCCCAGTAAGGTATTGCAACTGTTGGATCAATCATACGCAAAGCTATTTCCACTCTGAAGATTGCAACAGCTCTTGTGGAGAATTGGACGTAATCAAATCAAGATTATAAACATAAAACCTATTGTTTCATGAAGAACTAAAAAACTTTACCAGCGAAATGTGAAAAAAAAATAATTTTTTTCAATCACAGTGTAGTATCATATAATATGTGGGAGATTCCACTTTTCTCGCCAAAAACTTTAATTTGTTAAAAATTGAAATAAGTTCCTAAGTATAAAACCACAGATACGTAAAAGAAACATACCTTTTCAAGTATTCTCGATGCCAGATCAGAAATGATGGACCGAAATGTGCGCCGCTGTTTTTGGAAAACTGAAAGCTTATTTCTTATAATGTTAGTCAAGAATGTCACGATTGGGGTTCTTAAGACGCTTGATACGAGATTAAAACAAAACACTGCTGTTAACGCAGAATAACCTTAAATATCTCATTCAGCTTTAAAATTTTGATAAGTGTGATCCTACATCACGATGTATTGCTGAAAGACGATCATATTCACCGCGCTGCTTCAACTGGACAAAAGCATTAAACAAATTTGCTCGTTCTGTCGGTGTAAGTGTTCGCAGTTCTTTTCGAATAGCCCTTGTAAGGAAGTTACCAGATGGAAGCACGCAATTTCCAGCTGCATCCAACAAACCCTTAAAAACTTAATTATTTAAACCAATTAAATCATCATAGTTTTCATGAGTTAAAAATTTTACGTTGATTGCCTAGTCTATAATCATCTGCCCTGACCACAGAATTACATGTTGCACTTTGTTTTAAACTGGAAATTAAATAAGAATTTTTTCATGAAATTCATACACCAAAATACGGGCAAAGACATGAAATATCCATGCAGTTATATGCTTCGTCGCGCATTGCGGTCTCAGCCGATTGTCTTTTACTCCTCCATGTCACCTTACATTCTAGTTTTCCTAAAAATCAGAATTATGACCTTGAGAAAAGAAAAAGGAACAAAGAACATCAAAATCTCTACAAAGCTTAAATGACCATAAACATTAGTTATTGATGATACAACCGCATCATATTTGCCCCAAAAGCATCAGTTTCAATCACTTATTTTTATTCGTCAATTTGATAGAAGTCAGTTTAGCATTAAAGAACGATTTAGGTTAAAAATCAGTTTTAGTCAGCTAGAAGGGGAGAAACATTCTGTCGGTAGAAACAAGTGTTCGCCACTTTTTATAAATCATGTACACCTTGTAGCTGCTAAGAAGTAAAATTCCTTTACCAGTTACTGTTCTATTGCTGCAGTATCACTCTTTAAAAATCAAGAGAAATCTAGTGTTCTATATTTTAGCGATAAACAAGTAAATTTAGAATGAGCACAAAATTCACGTTATAACCAAATTTAAGACATATTCAACTTATACCATGTTCAGCAAGTCTCCACAGTGCCATGGCTTTCTGCAAAAAAAACTAATATCTGTAAATTTACTACTCAATAAAACCCTTCTTTGGTTAAAATGCAGGCAGTAATCCTTCCGGCAAAATTCTGAAGCTTTTGGTAATGAGCTACAACTACGATATTTGTTCCTTGCAATTCATAATTCCCACTTTACATTTCTTCAATACTCAAAAATTTTGAACTTTCAATACTAAGATAATTAAAATTTCCAGGCGGTAGAATTAAAAAAAGTTCTGCACCAATGACTTTCAAAATTACTGCACAAAAAATTAAAATTTTTAAACCTGCATAAGCTTGCTGCCGAAAACAACTATAATTCTACAAAAAAGAAAAAGACCTTTGAAGCTCAAAACGATAATCTTCTTTGCTTTACTAGCCCTTCATCACAGCAGTGATCAAGATTTTACTGCTTACCTTTCATTCAGCAGTTAGAAAAACACAATCTGACTAACCATGGCCAAGAACAACCACAATTGGTTTAAAAAATTCTTTTCAAGATTAGCTTAGAAGCATGTAGTCATTAAGGCAGAGATACATTGAACGGTACTAAGCATAAAACCTAATCGACGTTAAATATGCGTCATTGCATGTCAATTTTCTTCTGGTAAAATGTGTGCTTTGATTACATAGTATTCCACTGTCAAAAAATCAGGCCGAGTGTGAAACTTCACTAGAGCACAACATAAATCTTTGCCTTTGCTTACCTGATCCACCGTGACCGTATATTTTGAAATCTGACTCGTATGGAACGATATAAGTTTAACAAAACAAAGTCTAAATAATTTTTCTTTTTTAAGAAACTGATTATTTGTGATGCCTTTACAGTGTTTGGAATTTTGCATATTAATTGTCACTACTCGTATTAGCCACAATTCTACAGGAAAAGGTAGAACTGACTTTTATATAAAACCAAATCTGTATAAGTTGAAAAAAAAATTTTGTAAATTAGTTTTTTTCTGTTAAATAATAGTATTTTCCACTGAGCAAAAGTTGCTAAGATGTAGAAAAAGTTCATACTTACCAAAATTTGAAAAAAATTTTTCAGCTTTAGCCGAGAAAAGTGTACTATTAGGACGTATATCTGACTACCCTCTCACTACAGGTTATTATAGACTCTGGTCGTTTTGAACACCTACACGACAAAGAAAAAAGTTCCGCAAAGCGTTAAAAAAGAGGAGGCAAATTCACAAGCCCCATTGTAGGCCTTTTTACCAACAACCACAGATAATTCTCATCTCAATCTCATTCTAGGTTTCAAAGAAAAGAATCTTGCAATTTAAACCAGTTTTCCATATATTTGGAGCATATTTTTGTCTAGACTATAGTTAAGTCCCTACAAAGATCAAATTATGAACTACTGAAAGTCAATTAGGTGTGGCAATCTTGCAAAAATGAAAATCTTACATACATAAAGCTTTAACTTTTGGCTTACCTGAGAAGCAAAAGACTAGAAAATAAAACAACGTCTAGGTTCCGCATGAATAAAACTAAATATACCATTTTCAAACAAGTCGAGTTTATTTCATAAAACCTCTTCAGTCATATTTCCAGAAGGCCGTAAGCGGTTTTTTCTGTAAATCCCCTGAACCTCTCAATCACAGTAACAAGCTCATTTGACACTGCAGAACAACACTTTCTAACATCAAACTTTTCATCCAAACTTTCCTTAGTCTTGATAGTATCCAACTTGTCCGATTATATCTTTTTGCTTCTGTCATAGCTTCACCATGTTGCACTATCCATAGAGGGAGTATAACCCAGTGTTAACTTCCACCCCTTCAGAACCACTTATCAGCCGTTCTTGTCTTGAAAGAATAGCAATAAAATTCCGCCAAATCAGGGCTGACTAGCCACCTGTATCATTCTTAGAATGTTAGAAGAGTTAATTACAAACAGGTTATCTCAACATTGCAATTCAGATGATGCTTTGCTTTCATAAAAATATAACTTTCAAAACGGTAAATCCACACTTTACAACACTTCTTTTCTTAGCCTACCTTGAAAAAGTTACTAGAAAAGAATGGCATTTCTGGGAACCTTCTTAGATAGGCAGAATTTTCACTGATTTTACACATTCAATTATTCTTTGCTAATTCAGCAACGTCGTTCAACGTTTCTGCAAAATCTGCAACACCGAAGACACTGATCGACGCACATCATGTAACCAGATGTAACAATGTCGCTGTATGTAAGGGATCACTTATTCATTTAAATTCGCTACTTTGAAAGTCCAGAAAAAAAACTTTTTTCACAGCCATAAAAAAATTCATATTAAAACAAGTCGGCTCATAGACTTTTAAACTTTTTGACGTTTCTTAGGTCATAGATATCATAAATATGACTTTACTGTTTACAAATGTATACTCACTTTCTACTGCTCTTATACTTTCCTTTGGCACTCATTTCGCTGACTAAAATACCTCCAACTTGCAACCATTGGGGAAGAAAGTTACTAAGATATCTTCATTTTGAAAAATGTTCAACTTAGAAGCGATTCACTAAATTATCTTCAAGCACCATAGGTATTTTGTGGTTATTCTTCCTTCACTCTTGTACTCAATAGCTCTCTTAATGTCCTCTTTTGTACTCAGCTTTGTCTTCTTTTCCCCCCTTTTGTCAGCAGTTCTGCTGCAGCTCAGTAATTAGTAAAAGAGTAAGCCGACCACTTACTAAAAATTCTAGCCCACTTTGGTCACAGTTCGTGTAAAGTGCTGAAATCAAACTTTACGTCTTATATAATTCACAAAACTTACTAGATTTCGCCACACAAGTTTTGTTTATTTTACGTAGCCTTTTAAAATTCTTGGTTGGGTTAACGTAAATATAGTCCACTGCAATGTGTACCAGGAAGCCCAATAAATATGTGGAACTAGTTAAGTTATTATCAAGCGCTATAATAACCCAAGAAATTTAAAGATTTATGCTTGTTGGAAAAGAAAAATTTATTTAAAAGCTGAATGAGAAAAGATTCTCCCCTTCCCTCGTCTTTAAACGATTCAACAAAGAAAACTAAAAAAAATTTGAGAAAATCTGTGTCCAAAATAAGTTCTGTTCCACACAGCCAAAACGTCTCTGCGTCGACACGCAACAAAGAGCACTGTATAAACAGTTAGTCACTGGCAAATTATCACCCCCTTCAGAACGAGTGTGCTCGGAAAACATTACTGAAATTGAAGAATGTGACGAAAATGGTAGTTCTTCCCGAAAATTAAGCACTTAATTGTTCAGCTGGTTCAAGTTAACCTACGCAGTTATAAGCAATGCCCCTGCACATCCCAATGGGGAAAATCCTAAGCTTATCATCAAACCCAACCTGTGAAGGCAAAACATTTGAGGGTGAAGCGATCATAACCTTAATTCTAACTGTGGAAATCTTCAAAATTATAACAGGGCCCTATCCATTCCTAGACTCTTCAGCGCTTCACTACATAAACCGTGACCTACGTCTTAACAATGACTTTAACTTGCGTTAATTTGATAAATTTCCACTGCTTCAAAAAGATAAACAGGTGCTTATCAAGAAGAACCGACAACCGGATGGTACCAATTAGATAGGAGACCACTGCCACATTGAAATGATGGCTACTCGTCAAAATAACGCTCTTCTTCAAGCAACATTTCATTTTTCATTCAAGTAATGAACTCGCTTAATAAAAATAACCCAAGTAACAAAGCAATAACAATGCTACCTGCAGGCAGTGCGACGCAGAAACACTAGATTTAAGCTTCAGAAACACACCAACAATATTTAGAAAATTGAATATTCAGAACCTTTGAAGACAATCTGTCACGACAAACGGCACTCATGAAAAACGAAATGTTTATTTAACATACAGAAATAAACTACTGGTAGCGAACATAATTACTAATAGTTAAGTAGCCCGAAGCATCTCAGGCAGTTTTGAAACCTGATACCGCTGTACCAAAAGCGGACCAGTATTTGCCTCAAGCTTAAAATACCAAAAAATGGCAACGTCATTTTGATACACAAAATGTTTGTCAATTCAAAAACGTTCAATGCATATCCAAAATGTAATCGGAAAATTAAAAAAAAACAAGTACAGCTCTGAGATGCTCAACAGCTACTTACCAGAATCCAAACTGTTGCAGTCGGTCACGTTACCTGCTGAAACTGCACTAGTAAATAATAATAGGAACGCTGACAACCACCAAATTTCATTCATTGTTCTACCTTATGAGAATGCTAAAAATAAGTTTAATAAAAAATCAAATAATCATGTTTGTAAGGCAAACATATGAATAAATGGTTGAGGACGCTAGTGATGATACACAGCAGGAAATTACAACGCTCAGCAATAGCTTGAGAAATAGTCAAAATGCATTATTAGAAAGTTTTTGGCAGTATTGGAAATATTCCGCAAAATTATTGTGAAGAATTGCAATCCGTAAAAAGGAAAACATCTTTACAGAACTTAGAACGGTAAATGCAATCACTCCATAAAACAACAACAACAACAACAACAAAAATAGCATTGATTTACTGAAAACAGTTTAAAAAAAACAAGTTAAAAAAACAAGAGCGTAAACACCGAATGATTTCAAATAGCAAATGAAACTGTTAAAACCAAACAATGCAGTAATGAACAGTATTTTATAACATCAATGATGCACTTATCTTC